TTTTCAATTCCAAAAATACCCCTCTGAAATTACCATTCTACCCCCATCAGCTATAACCAATTCCTAATTAAATTTCATCAACAAATTTAAGCTAGAAACTCAGATTATGTCAAATATCATCAAAACAAAGACTAAGGATTCAGGGAACCAAACCATATGATGAACAATAAGGAAACAACTGAAATCATTTTGACTGAACAAACATTTTTAACAACAAACATACTTTCAGATTCAATAAAGTAACAAATTGAACATAACAAACAGGTAGAGTCAGATCACTAAACTTCAATAATCAATTGAACTTCAAATTAAATCTAACAACATCATAACAAGGATGAAATGATTCAAACTAAAATGAACACTCGACATTAAATCACTTGACGAACAACTAACAAACTTCAAATAAAAAATGAACACAAATTATCCCTAATACAAACAAAGGTCTAGGTTCGAATTCAAACCAAACCATTGGAACACAAACACAAGAAGAAAAGGAACGGAAGATGAATTCGCTGAACGAAAACTAAGAGACAAGAGAATGGAAACCTACTAGTTTGAAGCCCGAATTCGAACGGAACCTTGACGCGCTAGTTGACTGGAGTTAGAAGCAGAACGATGGGGGTCACTGGTTGGTCGTTTGGAGGTTGACGACGGGGAGATGAAGCAGTGGGGGCTGGTTCGTTTGTTTGACAAGAAGAAGAACGAAGCAGCAGCAACAACGCTGCCTAACTGGTGGCAGGCGATGAAGGAGGCGATGCTCGTTTGGATGTGACGATCGAGCTGTGGTCGTTCATGGCTGGAGGTGAAGGACAACTGTGAAAGCTGTGGGCTGTTGGTGGTCGCCACTGGTCGACGAAGAAGGCAGCCATGGGAGCTCGAGCTCGACGACAAAGACGAAGCTCGATGGAGCTCGACGACGAAGACGAAGCTCGATGAAGGGGTGGTGCTGGGGCTGTTTGAGGCGATGTGGCTGGAGCTCGAAGCAGTGGCAGCCATGGTCGTCGAGCAAGCAGTGGCAACCATGGCGATGAGGCAAAGACAAAGCAGTAGGTGGCTGCTTGTGTCGACGACCATAGTTGTGTGTGTGCGTGTGTGTTTCAACGACGAGGGTGGCTGTGTTGTGGGGAAAATGAGGAGGGGGAGGTCGTGGGGAAGCAGCCATGGGAGGGGTTGTTTGAGTTTTAGAGAGGATGAAGAGAGGGGGGCGGGTGGTTTGTTAGGTTTAGGGTTAGAAAGAATAAAAAATGAAAAAGAAAGGGGGGTTGGGTCTTTGGGATTATGGACTGGGTCGACCCGGGTTGAAATGGACTGGGTCGTAGGGGAAGGTTGGGTATCTTTGGGCCTGTGGTTTAAAATTGAAGAAAAGGTCCAATCCGATATTTGTGTATTTTTGTTCTTTTCTATTTCTTTAATTTCCTAATTAATAAAGCTAAAAAAAATGCTAAGATTAAATTATAAAACCCTAACGTGCTCAAAAAAATACTAATTAGCTCCTAATAACAATTATTGCACATTTAAATAGCAATTAACGATAAAATCACACAGTTTGGACATTAAATGCTAAAAATACAACGTACATTATTTTTATGATTTTTCATTTTGTAAAACAAACTTAAATAAATATTAAATGCAAATGCAACATATTTTTATGTTTTTTTTATTAATTTAACAAATAAACATGCACAGACAAAATACAAATAATTATCCAAAAATGCCACAAAAATTCAAAAAATTGCACACAAAGGAAAATTGTTTTGTTTTGAATGTTTGGGAGTAATTCTCATATAGGGCAAAAATCACGTGCTCACAGCTGACCCTCTTTGCGCGGAAACACGTAGGGTTTTCGTGCAAAGATAAAGTGAGCAGATACGAGCGATTTTTGCCCGTTCGGGTACTCCGTGTGAAGCATCTTTTGAAAGATTTAACCGAACCTCTGCTTCGAAGGTTTCTTACATATCCCTGGCTAAAAGGGAATCAGGTTAATGTAGTTTGGGAAGTTTTGGTAGCTGGGACTACCATGACGCTGCGACTTTACTGTTACTGCTGTTGCTGCTGCTACTACTGCTCACTGACCTCCTTATTACATTAAAAAGAAAAATCAAAGATAAGTAAAGAAGGTATAAATCCTAATATCTATTGTATGAGTCAAAATCTATCTCTAGAATATAAGTTAAAATGACATCGGTAAAGCATCTCCAGGTCGCCATGGGTCGAAATGATCTAATCAACAATGAAGGCAGTGGTCGAAGAGTCATCAAGGATCAAGGTCGAGATCGAGCACCGTTGACAGAGTTATAACAGCTAGTTTCAAGATAGGGCAACAATAACAACAACATACCCAGTAAAATCCCACCAGTGGGGTCTGGGGAGAGAAGAGTGTACGCAGACCTTACCCCTACCCCGAAAAGGATAGAGAGGCTGTTTCCAGGAGACTCTCGGCTCAACAAGAGAGACAATAATATCAGAAAAGAAACAAAACAAAAGGCCTGTAACAACAAAAGATGCCAGAAAGAAAATAACAACAAGGAATAAGGGAAAGGACAATAACACAAAACTATGCCACCAACCATGTGGACACAACATAGACTGCTAACAAACCTAAACAGAACTCTATCAGTCTACCCGGTACAAAGAGAGAAGAACTCTCGACTACCCCTAGCCCACCACCCTAATGCTCGACCTCCACATGTTCCTATCAAGAGCCATATCCTCGAAAATCTGAAGTCGCGCCATGTCCTCCCTGATCACCTCGCCCCAATACTTCTTTGGCCGCCCTCTGCCTCTTATCGTACCCGCCAAAGTCAACCGCTCACACCTCCTAACCGGTGTATCTAGGCTTCTCCTCCGCACGTGTCCGAACCATCTAAGCAGCGCTTCTCGCATCTTGTCGTCCACGGGAGCCATGCCCACCCTCTCCCGAATATCTTCATTCCTAATCTTATCCAGCCTAGTGCGCCCACACATCCATCTCAACATCCTCATTTCTACTACTTTCATCTTCTGGATATGTGAATTCTTGATTGGCCAACACTCAGCTCCATACAACATGGCTGGTCTAACCACCGCTCTATAGAATTTACCTTTGAGTTTCGGCGGCACATTCTTGTCACACAGGACTCCAGACGCTAGCCTCCATTTCATCCACCCCACCCCAATACGGTGCGTAACATCCCCGTCGATCTCCCCATCTCCCTGGATAATTGACCCTAAGTACATAAAACTTTCTCTCTTGAGGATGACCTGTGAGTCAAGCCTGACTTCCACATCCGCTTCCCCCGTCACATCGCTGAACTTATATTCCACATATTCCGGCTTAGTCCTGCTTAACTTGAAATCTTTAGACTCCAGGGAGTTTCAAGATAGGGCGTAAAAGAGAATATTCTAGTAGATATTCTTTTCACTTGTACTGTTAAGATTTTTAGAAACATGTTCCCTATAAATACAAAGAGACAGTGATATGGGGCATGTGATATTCATTTTGTAAAAGACACTTTGACTTGAGAAAGAGAAAATCGGGTTCCAACCATAAGCACACAAAAATAATCTTTTTTCGAAGATTCTTGCATACACTTTTTTACTAGATCCGAAAATATTTTGGGCACTCAAAGATTGATTTATCATTTTCGATTGTCAGAGAGAATATTCATTACTTCCATCTTGTCTTGGATGACTCCTTAGTATTTATTTATATAAATGTCATTTGTTATTATTCATCTACATTCTGCGTTACTTCTATTTTGATTCTTGACTATTGACTATTGCATGCTATCATACCTTTTGGAACAGATTTGCGCATCACTCGTTATACTATTAGGAACTTCTTTTCAGAATATTATTGTTAACAAAAATTTACTCTAGTTTAATTAGTTAAACAAAAATCTACATTTTTGGTCAACATCTACCTTAAGACAACTCCTATTCGACATCTATTAAAAATTACAAACTAATCAAGTTCCCCAAGCCCTTATAAATAATTGTTGAGTTGAGGAAGAGAAAATAATTGAGTTGTTTGATTAGGGAATATTTTATCCCATCATATTTTAAAGTATGTTTGTTTATATTTGAAGCTTATAAATAATTGCTGGACTTGTTTGAGGCGTTAAACATTTTAAAATTAATTCGAAGGTTTTAAATCATGTGAGAAGTCAAAAGAAAGTTAGGTGCTCCGTACTTAATAAAAATGTATGTCATATTTTCTCTTTTGGTATACTCTGAGACACTATTTCTTTATTTCTAGTAGTTGGTCATAGATGAATAAGTATACCATGGTTTATTTTTCCAATTTAATCTTTTAGTGTTCGAATCTTGAAACTTATCAGTCTAATTAATTTAAATTTGCTTGGGTTATGCTTCTTAGGAATATTAAATAGCACCCTTCAAAAAATCAATAATTTACGACTTGAGCTCGACACTTCTATCATAATTATGCCCATGGTATATTAGAATTCGTTATCTAAATTTTCACAAAAGAAATTCATGGTCAATACTCAACACCATTAAATGAAAATCTTGATTGCACCAACCAATTTTATTTGAAAAGAGCAAGGAAGAATAAAAGAAAACATCATAGCTAGTTGAAATATAATAGGGTTGGCGTTATAACTTATAATAGAAGAACCAAAATTAAGCAGCCACCCTACTTTTCTATACAAACCTACTTTTTTTCTTTTGGATCATCACATGCTGAGAGGATCCTTTGTTTTTAACACACTAAGATTTCACTCTGTTCTGTGTTTATCAGAAAATCTTTCTCTCTCTTCTTTCACATAAATACTCACACGCAGGCCGCATGCTTGTTCAGGCTCTCTCTACGTAGAGCCCTGAACCCTTTCAAATTTTGTAAAATCTTGATCTTGATTTTTGGTGATACTATATTTATTTGTGATCTTTAAAGTTTTTGTCAATTTTGAGTCAAAAACCCCATCTAAAATCTCGCTTGCCAGCTCAAAGTTTTTTTTTTTTCGCAACTATGATCTCAACAGTGAAGCAATCGGCTGTTACACTCAATGGGTCTGATTTTAATCGGTCAAAGTTCCAAACTTTGACTTCGTTACGCCGTTTCTCACTTTTGCCACCTTTACCGGCGATGAACCCTAGCCAGAGCTCCGGCGTATCTCTTTCAAAGCCTATTTATGTTTCATCTGTTGAAAAGTTTGGAACTTTGAGGAGATCTAAAGGGCATGATCAAGAAAAAAGTTGTTTGGTTAAGTGTAAGGCTTATGAAGCGGATCGGGCCGAACCGATTGATGGGCCCGAGTCCAAAACTGAGGTGGCGAGGAGGGTGAAGATCGGTGTGTATTTTGCTACATGGTGGTTCTTGAATGTGATCTTTAATATATATAATAAGAAAGTGTTGAATGCTTTTCCATTCCCTTGGTTAACTTCAACGTTGTCACTTGCTGCTGGTTCACTTATTATGCTCATTTCTTGGGCTGTTAGAATTGCTGAAACTCCCAAAACTGATCTTGAATTCTGGAAAACCCTCTTCCCGGTAAGAAATTGAATTTTTCGATACCCAATTGCCTAAAGGCAACAACTTTTTGGTTCTTTTCTTGTTTTGATGATCTTTGTGGCCATGATTTTGTTCTTTGATGCCTTGTGTTTAGGTCACTAGCGGTACTTGTGATTTGTTTTTCTAATGTTTGGCTAATTTTGATTGTTTTCCTTCAATTACTGGGGATCTAGTCTTATGGTTATTTTTGTGGGTTTCTGTGGTTTTAGGTTAATAAAGGATTTAACCCCTCTAGGAGGGGCAAAAACCCTACTAACCCAGTTTCAAAATTTTATTTTTCATTTTGTCTGGATTTAACTTTGGGAGAAATATTTTCTGGGTTTGTTGACAGAGAACACAAAACAACAAAATTGTTGGTTTTGAAGTACAAACCAATTGTTTTCTGAAAACAAAGTTTTGTTTTTTTATGGATGAAAACCTTTTCAATGCTAAGTGATTTATTTCCTGCTTAAATTTTGGGGCTCAATAGTTATTCGGTACCTATACTCGTGGAATAGTCGGTATGCACACAAACTAGCTTAGATACTACCATTATCAAAAAGAGCTTTGCTTTTATACCAGACAGAGTCTTAACAAGTCTTTGTTTTTTTTCATGTTCTATGTTCTAGGTTGCAGTTGCACATACAATTGGGCATGTGGCAGCTACTGTGAGCATGTCAAAAGTGGCAGTGTCATTCACTCACATCATCAAGAGTGGTGAACCTGCTTTTAGCGTTTTGGTTTCAAGGTTCCTCTTGGGAGAGTCATTCCCTTTGGCCGTTTACTTATCTCTAATTCCGATCATCGGTGGTTGTGGTCTTTCTGCTCTTACAGAGTTGAACTTCAACTGGATTGGTAATTAATCAACTTTTAATGGTTAAGACTTGATTTCCCATCATTTGTATTGATTTTTCTTGCCTGCGGCATGGTAAAACATTTGTACTGTTATTATCCTCGTATGCTCATAAATTTTTTGAACATTGATGGCAAATTTTTCGTATAAGAGAAGTGGTTTATACACCTAGCTGTAACAGCTGTAGTATAGTGCAGCATTTTCTGAGGGTAATTCTGACTTCTACGTCATGTTAGTACGTTTTCTTTAGGAATAATATTTTTTAGAAGTTTTGTTTTAGTCATGTCAAAGATTTATATGCTAGTAGTATTAATAGAGAACTTCTAGTAGTTTTTATTTTTATCTTTTACAAAATTAGACAGATTACCTTAAACGAAGCGACATGGTCAACAATGATTCATATAGCCAACCCCACTTGCTTGTAATTGAGGCGTAGTTCTTGTTGTTGTAATTTTGACTTCTCGAGTTTGATACCTCTCTGAAAAATGGAAGGACTGTTAGGTGATACACTCAATCACGTTAGATTTCTAAGAGACCTCTTTTATGGATAAAATTGTATCTGGTTTCTGCTAGGCTGACGTAATTCTTATTCAATCAGGTGTCTTGGCATTTTCTGGTGTCTTTGACAATTAAGTTGGTTTTATCTCTTGAAGGCAACTTGCTTATGAATTTGCTTTGCTGATCATTTTAACTGTTTTGTTGGTTTGTCCACGTTAGGTTTCTCGGGGGCTATGATCTCAAATGTGGCATTTGTCTTCAGAAATATATTCTCGAAGAAGGGTATGAAGGGGAAGTCTGTTAGTGGGATGAACTACTATGCTTGCCTGTCTATGCTATCTCTGTTGATTCTCACACCATTTGCCATTGCTGTTGAGGGACCACAGATGTGGGCACTAGGTTTTGAAAAAGCTGTCTCTCAAATTGGACCCCAAATCGTCTGGTAATCACAAAACTGCCACCATTTCTGCTTTACATTTTGTGTCATCTGCACTATGCCAAATACTACATTTGACTGCAGTAAGTTATGTCATGTCAGAGACATATATAAATAAAAATACTTAGAACTTCTGGCACTAGAAAACTATATTTTTAAAATGATATGGACTGACATGGGCTTAATTGGGAGCGACATGGTTAGTGAAAATTCGCATTAGCCGATCCCAACTTGATTGATTGAGGCAGAGTATACAGTAGTTGCTGTTGTTGACTGCAGTAATTTGTAGTGTGAAAGCAGTAAATATTTACTTCACCTGAATTTTACTACGCCTAGAACAATTTAATGCTATTTGTGTAAAGAATAACTGATATGTGAGGAAGTGAATTAATATCAAGAATGGTGGTAGCTTGAGCTGTGTCAGAATGCGACAGGAAGGATTTTGGGAAAATAGTTGCATCACATACTTCACAAGAACTGTGAAAGTAGAATGTCCATGCATTACCCCCGGCCTATTTTCGTTTAATCCAATTAAGGCTTGATAACATATACTTTCTACCTCTAAATTTTAGCTTTGGTGTTGACTGATGTTTTATACGGTGGAATGTTTGTTGATAACAGGTGGATGGCGGCCCAGAGTGTATTTTATCACCTCTACAATCAGGTGTCATACATGTCACTGGATGAGATCTCTCCTTTGACATTTAGTATTGGAAACACCATGAAACGTATATCTGTAATTGTCTCATCCATCATTATCTTCCGTACACCCGTCCAGCCAGTCAATGCTCTTGGAGCTGCCATTGCAATTCTTGGAACTTTCTTGTATTCACAGGTGATAATTTCATTTTTTACCTTTCTGTACCAGGTGTGATTGTTTGTGCTTCCTTGATATGTCTTTCTATGGCCTATTTAGTTTTTTCTGCTCGAGTATGCAAACAAACTAATTTTTCTCCACAACTATTGTCATTTTTAACATGGGAATGAGAAATAACTCTTTTCCTTTCCTCCCAGACGACAACCTTCACTCGGATCTTTTTGTTCCTTTTTTCTTTGTGTTTTTTTGTTTGTTTTGTGTGTGTGTTTATGTGTTTTGTTTTCTTTTTCTTTTGGGTTGGCAAAGAGTGTTGGAAAGATTCATCATAATTTAACTATTTTTTGTTTGAAACTTAGATAACCTCTAATTTCCCATGAAATGCAAACCATCTAATGCTGAAATGGATAGAGTAATATTATTATTTCCCGAATTTAAGGGATATCCTATTGGTCATGTCATTCCATCAATTCCTAGCTCAAGTGGGAAGCTCCCTTCGCCTACAACCTTGAGGTTAGGAATTCAAAGTCAGTCAAGTGAGCAAAGTGGGAAAGAGCCATTGGTGACACTCTTGAAGAGGGGTGTGGGGGTGTGGGGTTGGGGGGTTAAGAGATTTAGGTTACCTTATCAAAATAATTACATCAATGGCAGGTGCAATATAACTCAGGAATAAGGAGAAGGGATATTATCTTGAAATTGCAAATGGAATAACAACAACAACAACCCAGTGAAATCCCACAAGTGGGGTCTGGGGAGGGTAGTGTCTACAAATCTAATATATTAGAGAAATAATTTATTGAATAACGGAATGAAATGATTTCAAATGGGCAAAACCGATAGTGAGTATTTATATAAGTTGACCCAAACGTGCATTGGAATGAGAATTTATTGTTGACGTAGTGGGGAGGAGGTTTGCTCAATTTTAATCAATTTCTTTAAATTGCTTGTGGTTTTCTGCCCACTCATTGAGGACGAGTTAAACCCTTGATACTGACATTTGAAGAATTGTACAAGTTTTGTATCTTAACCAATTCCTGCTCCTGATAAGCCTGTAACTTAGACAACTCCTTTGATTCTCATGTTTTCCATGTTTTTGCGCTAATTAGGAAGTTCCATTTTTCATCATTTTGATTGCGACTCTTCGATTGTTATGCAGGCAAAACAGTGAAGAGTGGAATTTATATATCGCGCAGGAAAGGTGTCGGAGAGAACCGTGAGGTGTTGAGAAAACGTATCCCAGAATCCTCAATCTACCCTTACTTGAGGTGGAACATGAAACTTATTAGTATGTAGATAGCAATAATGGGTTAAAAATTCAAATCCTATAGAGCTGCGAAGGCGGGTTTCCTTGTTTCGTTATGCATCGAACTTGATAGAGGCATTCAAAACTGTACCAATAAACTGATTACTTGGGTAAGAGTGATATAAATTAGTTCAGTGAAGCAAATTTGGTTTTTACATCTTGAATGAAAAGAGCACGATTGGTCATTCCATGTTCGGCATTGATTGATTTCCAGGGGCAATGAAGCTGAATTTTTTCTCTTGAATTTATACTGAGAATCTATCAAAGTATCTTGTATAAAACTAAACAAAAGAACACACGTTTACTGACAGAAACCAAGTGACAATACTAAGTATACATGGAGAAACCTGAACACTTTCAGATTAGGTGGAAATCTCGGCCTATTAGTAATTTCCAAACGATCAAAAGAATCCTATCAGGTTTGTGAACCAGCAGTTCTAGCAACAAAAATTGAGCAAAATCTTCTTTTAACTTACAAAATTTGTTCTGCCTATAAACAGAAATACTTCAAGATACCTTCATAGAGTACACAGAATCCTCTGGGCCAAGCAATAACAAGGAGCTCCATCAAACCTTCAAATATTTAATAGCAGTCTGAACGTCCTTATCTCCTCTACCACTGCAGTTAAGCACAACCTTAGTTCCATTCGGAAGAGTTGGACACAGCTTCTCTAAGTAGGCCAGAGCATGAGATGTTTCCAGAGCGGGGATAATGCCCTCTAACCGAGATAGCCTTTTGAAGGCTGCAAACATAAAGACATAAGTGAAACTTGAATGGGTTTAGAAGATACATCATAAAAATGCAAGAAAAGTGGAAGCCAGTTACAGACTAGTAAATAGTAACTTCAAAGGGATCCAAATTATACGCAAAGCTTTGAACTAAGAGCAAGTGAAGTCACTTATCACCTTCCAAAGCCTCCTCATCTGTGATACTGTGGTACTCTGCTCTCCCCAAATCTTTCAAGAAGCTGTGTTCTGGCCCAACTCCAGGGTAATCCAACCTAATAATCCGGGGAGAAAACCAGTTAGAAGACATAATTCATAGCGATATGCCTATCCCTCTCAGGATTTCCTAATAGCATAATAAGCACTTAGGTAACAAGTAAAGTTCAAGTTATTACCCAGCAGTGATAGAGTGGGGCTCAACTATCTGCCCATCTTCATCCTGCAGTAGATAGCTCATAGCTCCATGAAGAACACCCACCTCTCCCTTTGTCAAAGTGGCAGCATGTTTACCACTGTCTAGACCAAAACCTGCTGCCTCCACCCCAATCAACCTCACATCTTTGTCATCAACAAACTCATGGAACAGTCCCATCGCATTCGAACCTCCACCAACACATGCAACAAGCACATCTGGTTTCCCACCCCACTTGTCTAATGATTGCTTCCTCGTTTCTTTACCGATCACTGCATGGAACTCTCTAACCATCATGGGGTAAGGATGTGGTCCTGCAACAGAACCAAGTATGTAATGAGTTGTTTCAACATTTGTAACCCAATCCCTTATAGCTTCTGAAGTAGCATCCTTGAGCGTAGCAGTTCCAGAGTGGACAGCTCTAACCTACATGTAAATTTGGAGAAGCTAATTAAATATCAGAAAAAGTTACAGTTTCAAGCTGCAAAAGATATTCTTATGTAATTATCCCCATCGGGAATAGCAAACCATGATTTGAATATGAACATGCGTTGCAAGAAGAGGATGGAAAAAATGAACTGAAGATTGACCATCTACAGGAACATATCACAGAAGACAAGCACTGGTACACGTAACCTTCTGTTATTAAGCCATCAGCAGAATGACGAGTGGTCTTCAGATCAAAATCGAGGCAGGGAAATTTATCCAAAAAAGAAAAAGAAAACAATCAATATCAAGACTAATTGGAAGTAACCTCGTGCCATCATCCATTTCTAGTTGGTAGTTGAGGTTTTGGTATTAAGATAGTCAAGCTCAAGAACAAAGATGGCTCACACAAGCATTGCCGATCAATAATTTTTTTAGTTAAACTTCATGCTACCTTCAATTTACTTGACCGATTCATGGATTTTAAGAAGATACACTCTTCTCATCAGTACACATCTAATCCCTACTCTCCAAGTTCATAAAAATTCATAGCATATTCTATTTTTCCCATATACCAATATTTTGCACGCATACATTGTGTAAGGTTGCGTACGATAGACCCTTGTGGTCCGGCCCTTCCCCGGACTCTGGGCATAGCGGGAACTTAGTGCACCGGGCTGCCGTTTATACATTTGTTCCTTGAACCTATAATTCATCCATGGAGCATAGAGAAGAAACCACACAATTTTTCTTGTTAGTGTCACTGAGAGTAGCCAATTCAGTTAATAAAAGGTTGCACTCCTAGAGATTTTTGTGAAGCTGCAAAAGTCAATCAGTGAACTCCTTGTAGAAATTTTCAAAATCTCTCCTGAAGTACGCTAAGAACAGAACAGACAATCCACAATGTAGGACACAAACCTCAGCTCCAAGCAGCCTCATTCTGAAGACATTCAGTGCTTGTCTCTCCATATCTTGAGCACCCATATAAATAACACACTCCAAACCAAACCGAGCACAGACAGTAGCAGTGGCAACACCGTGCTGACCAGCCCCTGTCTCAGCAATAATGCGTTTCTTTCCCAAGCGCTTGGCAAGCAAAGCCTGGGCAACAACATTATTGATTTTGTGGGCACCAGTGTGGTTTAGATCTTCCCTTTTCAAGTAGATCAATGGTCCTTCACCATCTGCACGTTTATAATGCTCAGTAAGCCGCTCTGCAAAATAAAGAGGGCTCTCTCTGCCAACATAATCTCTCAATATTCCTTCTAGTTCTTTCTGCAGTCAGCATAAATCATGTAAACAAGTTAGAATTTCTATAGGGGTCATAACAAATCTGCCTAATGCAATGCAACTGAAATCAATCAACTACACCACAATCTCAAAACGATTCGCGTCGACTTATCAATCCTCTTTATCTGTTCAGAACTGTTCAAATTATTTTCATTCAAATACTAAATAGTTTCTCCTTTAAGGCAATTACTGAAATTAGGGGTTCTCTAAATCCCAAGTCAAAATGAAAAATAAAAATTTGAAAAAAAGGGGGTTAAGTGAATAAGCTCAGAAGTCATAGCTACAACTGCTTATATCAGATTAAACACTTCAATTATACTAAATTGCAAAACAAAATGCTAGCTCATGCACTAAGAAATTATGCTTAAAGCAAATGTGTATACTTTATTTTAAAACACGCACAATACATGCATTTGAAGCTAGTTCTCAGGAATTTGCTAATTTGTGCCCACCTATTTCATCACGTTATAAAGACACAGACTTTTGATATCAAGAAATACTAGTCCACTAGTTTCATCATTTCACGATTGAATAACTAAAAGAACAGCTTCTTTTTTTGGTCAGTTTCACTATTCATATTTCATAGGATAAGTGAAAAATCAGAAAAGGGTCAGACATCTAATAATAAGTGGCTAACTCCGGGAAAACAAAATAGCCGGTTGTAACGTCCAATCAATCAGATCTGCTCTTCTTACAAAATGCATAATGCGGTTAAAAAAAACAATAACATCAAGTACATCTCAATCCCAAAACTAACATCAAGTAATATACCATTTCGCTCTAATTGGGCCCTATCTCATTCCAATACTCAAAAATTGAAACTAAATCAGCAATTTAAGAATGCAAAAAATTCAAACACCTGAAAGTCATGGTCGGTAGCGAGCGAATTGAAGGCGGTTTCGAGCTCGTCGAGAGCATGCATTAGTGTTTCGGGTACATATTTCCCCCCAAATTTCCCGAACCGGCCGAACGAATCGGGTCGTTGAACGACGGCGGGTTCCGCAACATCCTGAACCGACATTGATTGTACACAAACATTTGCAGGTGGCTTGGTGGGTGAAATCGTAATTTTGCTGAGTTTTAAGGGTATTTGCGATTGGAATAAGGAGGAGGAGGAGGAGAAGCAGTGGTGGGGCTTCGTTAGCTGTGGAGCTGTTTGGCTCGGTGAGGTGAAGGCCATGTTTGGTTGATCTAAAATTAAAGGATTTTCATGGACGCCAACTTTATGAAAGGTAAGTGGGACCCAGTTGAATGACGTGGCTGTTTTACAAATTTAGAGTCCAGAGAGATTCTCTTTAGTGACCGAACAATATTAACCCATAACAGGACGAACAACTATTTTTCATCCATATTATATTTATTTATTATATGCATTTCAGTATAAAAATATTTAATAGTAATTTGTTTTTCTTTTAAGGTATTTTTACATTTTTATAAAAGAATTATTAATAGCTTTAGTTATAGAAATATTTGTGTAGAGCTGGAATTGAGGAATGTTACTAGTTTATTTACCATTAAGGGTCATTTGGTCAGGAACAAGGATATTTGGGGATTGTAATCCCACATTCTATGTGGGAAGGTAATATCAAAATTTTGATATAAACTTATACCGATTTTAATTAATATCATCAATCAAACATGAAATAGATGTAACCCAAATTTTATGCTAGAATTAAGAGTTTTCTGAACTCATTTTGAGGCAGAGCTTTTTGATGAATAGTTTTTTTTTTTTTTTTAAAAAAAATGGAGGCAATAAGTGTTGCTTTATTTCCTTATATTGCCAAGACCTGATGTTGTAATTCATTGAGGGTAGAGCAAAGTAAATGTGCAGAATACGATCATTTAATCAATTGTTTGAATTGTCTTTCTTATGGTTAATATCATACTTATGCTCTAATAGCCTGTTTTGTCAAGTTGCTAAAATTAATTTATTTTAAAAACTTTTTTTTCAAAAGTACTTCTAGTAAGAAATAATTTGTGTTTGATTAATTAATTTAAAAAGTACTTCTAAACAGCAATTAGTGTTTGGTCAAGTTTTTAAAAAATGTTTCTAAGTATATATTTTTTTCTTCAAAAAAATACTTTTGGGGAGAAACTACTCTTTTTTGTTTCTCCAAAACTGCTTCTGTTTCTATTCAAACGCGTTTGTTTTCCTTCTAAAAGTTTAGCCAAACATTTCAACTTTAGGGGGAAAAAAAACAAGTTTTGAAGGGAAAAAAAGTGATTTTGGATTTAGAGAAAGCTTGGCCAAACAGGGTATATGACAAGAGCATAAATACTTAATTAACTATAAACCTTTTGGTTCTTTTACAAATATTTGAGACACAATTGTTCCTGTTCTTATCTTCTAATGGAGAAAGTCTTATAGGGAGTTCTCTTTTTTATTGGCCTTAATTATATGACGTAATATGAATTAGTTCTGGTGGATACCAAATGGTTATACCAAAAGAAAAGTTGTTTTAATGGTCCGTGTAATATAAAATTATAGTACTCTTGATCATGCTTAAAATGATAAATCAAAAAGACACTTGTGATCTTGCAAAAAAAAAAAAGAAAAACAATTCTCATTAATTCTATATAAAAACCCCTTTGCCTGCAGTATTACGTGTTTAAGAATTTACTACTCTCTTTTTCACTCCTTTTCTACATTTTTCTGGCCATAGGCCAAAAGAAAAGAAGTGTAACAATTGAAATTTCTATTTACAACAGAATGTTACAGGCTTACAGCTGAAGGAAGACCGAGCAGACTTGGCAGTTTGTAACAGTTTGGCTAGTGTTTATAATAGTTTAATTTTTTGGCTAGACTTAGTAATTATGTGCCCTAAGTGGCATAACTATATATGGTTTGTGATATTTCTGTACGCAACTAATATTAAATTCTATGTTGCTCGGATTCTTCAAAAATATCGATGGGTGTGTGTCGGATCCTCCAAAAATAATGTGCATAGGCTACCGGTTCCCGAGAACCCAATAACTCTTGCGTAGACCCTGTATTTATATTAAGAAATTCACTAAATATTGGTAAATATTTGACTGTGAACCCAGTTATTATTGCATATTAATCTAAAATTACGATAGGAACCCATAGGAACCAATAAGCCTCAAATCCTGGATCCGCCTCTGACGGGTACAACAACTGTTTTGGAGAGTCCGAACAACATAGATATTAATATAACTACTTCCTGTTGGTAAAAAAAAAAAAAAACATTAACATACAAGAATTCCTGTGCACCTATATAATTCTATTCCTCCAGATTACAGAGTATGCAATTGACGCTATTCCTACTGAGCTAAAAAGTGCTGGAAATGCAATTATTAGCGAGATCAATAATTGAAGTTTTGAAGCGAAATATAAATAAGCACAAAAAGAAATGTTTTTTTTTCACACATTAAAAAGATCAAATAATTCATGTTACAGGCAATAGCCACCTTACTTTTTCCGAGTAACTCAATTTCTGGTATTTTCTTTGCATAGGCGACGGCAATTCAAACTTTTTGTGACGGTCGTCACTACAGTAATGTATCTTTCAAGTTTAGCGTATAGGTAAAGGCTGATATACAACCACTCATATACTCGACAAGAAAAAGTTTTCGCATTTTATCATTCTTAGGATTGCATATAACAAGTTCAGTTTTATGAGCGTTAATTAGCAAAGCAACTTCTCCGTTGTCTGCGGCGGTAATGGGCAATACTGCAAACTCTCCATGAGGATCAAAGCATCGGTTCTTTATAAAAAATAAGGATGTCCATGATTTCTTTACTCCATATTCCTTCATGACCAATATCTCAATGCCGTAATCATAATCACAAATAAAACCACGACTCATACAAAGACAATCATCTAAAACTCCTAAACCACCTATTTCACAATTAAAGTGTTTATGCTTAGGCGGCTCGGGAATTGGAAACAAATCGAAATTTTCAGAGATGGGATCAAAAGTAATAACTCTATAAGGATTTTCATATGAATATATCCTACAGTGAAGTCGTCCATGAAACGTAATCCCATCTTTCACTGAGGGGACATCATCGTAAGGCAAATCGACTCTCCTCCACGTTTTGTCGTCCTCCTTAAGACTAGCAACCATAACAAACTTCTCTAAAGGAAACATCACAGCCTTGTAAATATTCTTGGAGGAGTCAAAACAAAGTCCGCCCATTGGAAAACTATATCCTATATCGAAATTGTACTTAATCTCTATTTTGGTGCATAATCGAGTCGTAGGATTCCACAAGAAAAACATATCCCAATTTGCAAGTGTGAGTACATTGTACTTAAATATTTGTTTTAAAAGGAGGAATGGAAGGAATAGGCAAAATGGCACCGGGTGACAACACAAACACATAATACAAAAATTTTAGCTTTAGATTACGTTTGGAGGCAACCCAAAATAATTGGGGTTGTTTAGCCAAATCCCCCCAAAAAACTACTTCCCTGCTTATTCTCTTCCAAGAAAACCTAATTCTCTATTTATTCTCTCTCCCCTAACACCCTTCTCTACCTCTCTTTATTGTTGCCTTACCTTTCAATCACAAATTCAGTCACCTTATCATAACAAATTCAATCCATAAAAATTCATCAAACGCCTATGAGATAGGCTTTGAACAGAAAACATAATTAGAAGCATGCCCTTAAGCCCCAAGACGAAGCCCAACTTTTTTTTTCCTTTTTCTATTTTAACAAGGTATCAACTTTTGATTTTTGGGGTTAGAGATAATGGTTAATTTTGGAAAAATGAGGGGGCTTGGTCCAAAACTTTATTGAGAGATTTTCATAAAGCACTATCTTTTAGTGGTAATTAGCTATCTATAGATACCATTTGCTATATTACGGATTGTAGATACGTTTTTTGTTGTTATAAAATGTATTAGATGTATTTAAGCTACTATATTCATGAATACAGTAGCAAAAATAGGCGTGAATCAGGGAAGTTCAACTAATCAGTTGTTGTATTTGAGTGTATTCGACTGTATTCATGGCGTGAAACATGGATTATAGCTGGACATATTATTGTATTCGACCGTATTCACGGCGTGAAACAGGAGATTACACTGTTTTTAAAAGAAAAGTAAATCAATTAACATAATAGACTCCTAATATAACTAAACAAACCCAATTATAACACACAAAAATTGTATTTTCAGTTATAAAAAAGATTCAACAAACCCTAATTTCTGGCGAATCTGTCATCGAGCAAAAACCCTTGCTTGAATCTTGTATTGAAGATGACGGAAGTTGAGAAAGGTTTGTGGGTTTGCTGTGTTGTGCGCGCCGATCAGAGGCTTCATCTCCTTTGGATTCAATTTCGGTTGCATAAATTACTAACACTGCTTTTGAGTCGTCGTCTATGATGGTCAAGTGCGACCCACGTCATGGGAAGTACATAGCCTGTTGTTTGATGTACAGAGGTGATGATGTGCCTAAGGATGTGAATGTTGTTGTTGCCATAATTAAGACAAAGAGAAAGACAGAGAAGTCTTTGTGGTATACCAGGCAAAATCACCGTTTATGACTAATAGTAGGTGATGTGGGTGAGAGAAATTTTGAGATTGAGCATCGTGTTTTCAGGAAATGGGAGAAGAGAATGACATATATCAAAGTAGAGAGAGAAAGAAAATAGTGTAACTAAATAGCGTATTTAGTGGCTTAGGAATAGGAGGTAACCAAAATTAGATATTTTACTATAAACATTAAAAGGTATCTATAGAATATAATTTTTTTAAATGGTATTTATTTAAAATAAATAATGTGTTAACCTTTGCTATAGGAGATAAAAATTCCAACTTTATTCCCCTTTTCTTTCTTCTTTTCTAAAATTTTAAAAAAAATAGTTCTAATTCACATCCTCGTATATTAATGTATCTCTAACATTTGTGTATATCCACAAAAAATTATATGTTATATACTGAGATACACAAAAAAAAAATCTGATATACATTTTGATATGCACAAAAAAGGAAAATAAAATTGTGATATACACATTTGATATAAACATTAGTTAATGTGTTATACACTTTGATATACAAGCAATACAATTATTTTATATTATTATACACTTGGATATAGAGGCAATTTTTTTTTATAGACACTCTATTTATAGTAAAGTTATGATACACATATTTGATATACACAAAGAAGGAAAATGACGGTGTGATATACATTTTGATACACACATTATTATTGTGATATATATTTATTGGCTATCTGGTATCAATATCTATAACTATGATTTTTTCGGCTAATTATGTGATTAAGTTGTCACACCATGCCATTACCCCAAAGGACGAATAGAGATTTTTACATACTTGGTCCCTTTTTAAAAATTATTATCATAAATGATAGTAGACTTTGTTTGTTCCAAAAACAACACTTTTTTTTTTTTTTTTTTTTACTTTTTAGCACTTTCATTTTGATAACTCCATTAACTAAGGGATCCCTCTACATTAATACACTTTTTACTACATTTCCTTTTCCCTCACTCTTCTATAACTTTTTTTGTTCTCTTCCATAAATAACACTTACCCAAATATATCAAAGATTCTGAAAGAAGAATATCTCAAAAATAATTCTCTCTGCACAATGAGAATTTTAGTATTTCTTTCTTTTTTGAGTTTTAAACTTTTTTCTGTACAATTTTATTTTTAACTTTTTTCTGTATAATTTTATTTTAACTAAAAATATACATTTAACATATTTCAAGTATATTATATTGTGATAATTTANTGCATATTTATAATATCACTTTAAATATAAATAAGTGATAAATAACATATGCATATATACATAATTTTTCCTAAAAAAACACATGCTTTATAATATACCATAAACATACATTATATTTTTTTCACGAAATATATGTATTTTATTCCATTGGAATATACAATATATAATTTTGCTAGGATTAAGTTGAATAAAAAGGTCCATGTGTAAAAAGAAAAAAAAAATATTATGGAATGAATCGATGATATATAATTAAATATAAAGACATATATAAACAACATATGCATATATATATGAATTTTCCTAAAAAAAAATATATGATTTATAATGTATATACACCACATACATGCATTATAATTTTTTCGTAAATATATGTTTTTATTTTGTTAGAATATAAAGATGTATAATTTGCTACATTACATTATATAAAAAGGTCCATGTATGGAAAGGAAAAATCTGTTATGGAATGGATTGGTCTCTATAAAAAATATAAAACATGATATGGAATGGAGAGAAAAAATAGGGAAATATATTAAATACTAGGACTGCATTTTTAAACAACTTGATTCTTGCTGATTTGAATTGAATTAAATCAGCTATATATATAAATATTTTACTTCCATATTTGTTAATCATTAATTAATGCTAATCTTTTGTATTATATTTTTAATAGTGTGCTATTAATGAAAGTAGCTCAAAGGAATATGGCTAACTGACTTTGACAATGGTCTGGATTTTACTTTTGGGCTTTCTTAGTGAAGCTATCCTTATGGGCCTACTCAGCAAAGTATGTAGAAATGACATCAGGTAGCCACTCTAAAGGACTACTATTTAATTAGCCAATGCAACTTGAATTTCAATTTTTTAGTTTAAATACTTGAGACAAAATGTCCTGAAGTTAAAATTTTTAGTTTAAACTTTCAGGATAAAAATAAATACGGGCTATTCTCTAAATAGATTCATTGTTCTTGTATATAGACGTAGGTATGTACAACGATGAATACATTGAATACACACAAAAGGAAAATTTCAAATCATTCTCTGATTTTGTCATGTAATGTATTCTTAGGAGCATTTTTAGGTTTAGCAATAGATCAAAACTTATAATAATAGATGAAATTAATTGATAAGTACTAACCATTTATCGTTAGTATGTCATTTAGGCTATGACTGTCGTCCAGCAGGACCCTTAAATCCACATATGTGTCTTAACCTTCCGAAGGTGTTCTACCAACAAATATCTCTGCACTTCATTAAACTTTTCTACTTTGTCTACTAAAAATTACCTTCAACTTTCATGTAGTCTTGCTTTCTGTTGATAATAGAATTTTATAACTATCCGTTGTTTTTTTTCATTGTTGATCATCTTACTATCTTGTTGTTTTTATTCTGCTTTTGTATGACTTTTTGGTACTGTCCCTTCTTGTCTATATTTTCTTTAATGTAGTGCTTATGCTTTCTTGAACTGAGGGTCTATTGGAAACAACCTCTCTATCTTCACAAGGTAGGAGTAAGGTCTACGTACACATTACCCTCCCAAAACCCCACGGTGTGGGACAATACTGGGTATGTTGTTGTTGTTGTCTACTAAAAATTACCTTCAACTTTCACTCCCAAAATTAAAATAATAAGAAAAAAACTATGAATCCACAGTTTTACCAATTATTAAGAAAAAAGTAGGGGGGGGGGGGGAAAAGG